AGGAGCCAGCTGGACTGGGACTGGGAGTGGAAGTGTCGAGGACGAGCTCGGTTGGCTCCAGCCACACATAATGTCCGACTGGCAAGCAGCTGTCACTCAGTCAGACCGGAAGAAGAATGCGCGATACCCTAACATTACGGGCGGTTTTTAACCTGATTAACAAAAAGTAGTGCAGATGAGTCAACAAGTTGTATTGGGAAAAATGTTTTAAAAAATATTACACATATAAAAAATAAAAAATTATTATGCATAGACCATATATTAAAGTAGTCAACAAAAATCTGAAAAGAAGCCGGTAATGAAAGAATATAAATGTTTTCCTTTCTTTTAATAACAGAAGAAAATTTGTAACTTAATTTTTTATTATTTTATGTTCAGAGCTCAATATTTATGCCATGAATATTAACATTAAAAAACGATTAATAATAATTAAACACAACCTTTTTTAAATAAAAGTTTTTATAATGCAGGCAACCCTATCTCCTATTTTCTTTAATTAGAGTGTAACGTATTTCCCATGTCCCTGATTCCCGGAGTCTGTCCGGATGAGGCGAGCTCATGAAACTCATTCGTGTGCACTTGTCAGGAGCAGCCGCCCTTCCGTTCCATTTCAGGGGTGGGGACCCGTTTCATTCCATTCCATTCCCCATCAGCATTGTCCTTGCAGTTCGTTTGTGGTCAGTGTTACCATGCGCATGAATGACGCACGCATCTTCGCATGTGAAGAGTTTTTCTCCATGGAGATGAATCAAACTGATTGCTGGAGTATTGGTAATGCAATTACAATGCCGCTGCCGGCTAATTAAATCCCCCACAGATAGGTAACCCCGACAATTAATAAGCTTATGGGGCCAATAAAATATTGATATATGCCCGAGAGCTCCACACAAATCCCCTGAACAACAAAATTTATGTGTTAATATTTACAAATAAATTAAGCGACCGGTGGGGAAAGGCGGGTGAAGTGCAGGGTGGCTGTGCGAGATGCCTAGGCCATTTCATAGCCCATTTATAAAGCCCGGGAATTCGCATCCCATAATGGTGAGGGATTCGCTGGGGAAAGGGGCCAAATGGATGAAGCAGACCCAATGCAAATAAGGCAACGTTTGATTAATGAACGGGCTCGGAAAATTAAACAGCAACGCAAGTGCCGGCGACACTCGAATGGTTCTGAATTCTAGGGTGGATCAAGTGGCATGACTCAACGATCCGAAATTGGAAAAGTCTTATTAAGTTCAGTTCTAAATATACAATACAATTTTTAAGTCATTTATAACATAAACACCGACATACGAGTTCTTTGGAAATGTTATTTTTTTTTTTTAACTTCCAGCGGAGCCTCAATTTTATGGCATTTGACTTTACTCGACTGCTGGTCAGTTTGGCCCCTTGTGTATTTCTTGGGCATTTGTGGAATATTTGCGAGGGCATAACTCATTTGGTAATTTAAGAACTTGCACGAGTTGGTCGTTGGTCGCGGGTCTCACGTATTCCCCAAACCGAAAGAGGGACCCTGCACAAAAGCCCAGAGGAAGAGGCATGGCTATTCAGTTGAATAGTGGGATAATGCTCAGAAATGAGAGAGGGTTAAGACACAGGGAGAAATTTGTATTAACTGAAAACTAAATCTTGCTAAAACTGGATTTATGTACTTTATAATTTGAATTACTTCGCAAAAGGGAGATATCAATACCAAACTAAAGCACAAGGAACTTATTTTCTGCCTTAGTTGAAAATAATTTATTTTAGCATACCCTTCATTGGAGATACTTGCAATAGGCACAACTGAACTTTTCTCTCAGTGTATTGCAGCAAGTGCTTCAGCTGCTTCTTCCGCTGCTGCTGTGGGGATTTTGCCTCAAGGAATTAAGCGTGTAAAATACGAGCGCATAAATCTATTTGCTACGCATATAAACAACGGAGCGCATTTGCGTGTGCAATCACGCCATTCTCCGTTTGCCATTTGCCGAGAAATGTAATTAGGCCTGCCGCCATGTGGAACGCATTCTGGCCAGCCCAAGGGCGATCTCGGGGCGGGGGGCGTGGCAGGGGCGGGGCCGGCTAGTGGTAGAAAGGGGGTTAGCTAAACAGATGGCTTCCAGCTGACCGCGACCGCACACAGCCCGCCAGCCAACAAGCTAACCAGCAAGCCAACCAACCAACCAACCAACCAACCGGTCAAATCGACCAACCGAGCATTGTGGATGCATTTTGTGGACTGCAATCGCCTGGTCCAAATGATAGAGGGTCACGAATGACTCTCCGTCCGGCGATCATCAAGCTCAGGCCCCAGTTAAAAAGGGCAAAAGGGGGTTAATGACAATATTACTGCTCCTCAGCTGCCAGGTGAACGCCTTGCCAAGTTATTGAATTATGAAACGGGCAGCAGGCAAAGCAATGCCATTTATTTGCCCATAAAGCAAGTCATTAAATTGAAGCACCGAGGAGGTGAACGGAGATCACATGACGATGATGAAAATACCCTTGAAAAGATACATATAAAATACAATCAATAATCCCAAACATAAACAGAAAATACTACGAACCACTTGGGTTTATAAGGAAGATCTTGACAATTTATAATTTCAAGTTACTTGGCTTTCATGATAAATTAAAATTCCTTTAAAATAGTTCACAACGTAATACCCTTTTTTTTGGAGATCAGTGCTCTTCATCAACCTAATAACCACATGATGCTACCCTTCAAAAAACAATGCACTTAGTTCCGCTGTTGGAGAAGTGACCAAAAAATGCTAAAATGCAGCACCAAATGCGCAATGAAAAAGGCAGTGAAACGTTGCACCCCAAAAAAATGGAACCGAAAAATGCAGCAGAGTAGAGAAAAAGGAGCGAGTGAAGGAGATAAAGAATAATGACCACTTTGCCATCTCGTGGCAAATAACCATTCATCAAATTGTCCAAATTACAGACATTTCACAATGACGCACCCCCCGCTCCTCAAACGATTTGGACTTTTGCAATGCCGACAGAGCGACGACGACGACGATGACGATGACTGCAATTCGTTTACACCAATTTTATGGTAACAAGCTTCTCTCCAGCTCGGACTTGCCACTCGCCTCTCCCCCTCCCCTCTCCCCTCTCCCCCTTCCTTCTGGCAACTGGACATGCCCCATGGCAGCTGCTGGCAAATGAGTTGAGCTCCAGTTGAGTTCGGGTTGAGTATGGCTGGCCATGGATTGGGGCTTATTTAATACCCTTGCCGAATGTTACTCCCTTTAAGTAGGAATTTGAAGCCCAGATAATGCCACAGTCTTCACATGACATCACTAAAGTCACATTACATCTACAGTTTTTGAGTATTTTCAAAAAATATGTATTTTTATAGCACAGGAAATATGTTGTGCTGGGAATATAAAACATATTTTGTATGCTAAAAATTTGTTTTAGAAGTGATCAAGCTTAAACAGTAAAACTGATGATTAGGTGTCGGATACTTCTTAGAAGAATTAAGTTTTTTAAGTTTTTTTTTTATTTTAGTAATGTATTTTTGATTACGATTATTTATTTGAACATAATTTATATACTTGATCAATCTGAGAAGTTTGTATCTTCAAGAAATTCCTACCTTCAAAGGGTATTTCAATACTCCTTATTTGATGCTAACCGCTCCGCATTATTATTTTTCCGGCTTGTGTAAATTGCCGGCTGCATTTGGGGGATAATCGCCAAGTGGCGGGGTTGAGGGATCCCAGGGTCGGGGGAGCTGACATGTGCCACGCCTAAAACTATGCAACAGCTGCCGCAGCGGAATGAGGCACTCCTGCGTTCGCTTTCTGCGCCGGCGACATGCATTCAATTTCATGGCTGACCGCTGACAACAACTGCAATTTGGGGACATTAAGTTTTGACATTGAATAATCACCGCCAAAGGCGTTGACGACACACACACACACACACCACCGCCCCGCCGCCGCTCACACCTCGCTGCTCATTCATAAAATCGCGTACATCGAAATCGCCTGGGCCCATAATAAATTCAGCTCACTCATCAGGCAGTCTCTGCATGTGAAATTTTCATAGGGGAGCGTCATCAGTTGGCTTGATTGAGAAGGTGGCCCTGGGGCAGGGGCTCACCAGGGGGAGGTGGGGTTTGCCAAGGGGGGTGGGGGGTGGTGGGTCTCGAAGGGGGCTGCTCTGTTCCAGCCCGATTCAGTTCAGCTGGGCTCGAAGCCTGGGACCGGCTTTTATTTTGATTTATTTGCCACAGACACGACAGTTAATTTGATATTTTGATTAACTGCAGGCCGGACTGGTTTTTGTTTTTGCAAGGGGGGGAAAACTCACGCTTAGGGTGGAGCAAAGGGGGGGAGGAGGGGAAAGGGGGGAGTAACGAGGGCAAGGGTCAGGCGTCAGCTGCTTGGCCCCAGTTAATTCCTTATATAAGCTCTCACTTTCGCGGCCACGCTATCGACCCGCCCCCTTCGAGGTTCCCCGCCCCCTTCATCACTTCCACATAATTTTATAATTTTTATTCACTTTGCGAAAATGTGAAAATAATTGCAGTGCAGTTAATTTATTATGTCGCTTGCCAAGACATGAAGTGGTGCGAGAAGTGTAAGCCTCTCGCACCAAAAAAAGGCCTCATTGCACAGTGGAACCAAAAGTATTAGTCAAAAACGGCTGAGATTTGATGCTTTTCAATGGAATTATATGTAAAATGATGCGAATAAAAATAAGTTGATTTTCAATGAAATGAAAGCAATTTATTTATTTGGCCTCTCCCTTTTCTGTGAACTGATTGTTGCATTTTCCAGAAATTATAAGTTCTTGTTAAATTTTTCTTTGATTACGATTAATAAGAATTGGAATCAATTATGCATATATTTCTTTTCACTGGAAACAAGATTACATTAAAACGCGGCAATAAACTGCGACTGCAGCTGATAACTCACAATTCTGTTTGCGATAAGGACCTGGGATTGGGTATAAAAGCTTCGCTTCTCTGAGCAGAAGTCATATTCAGAATATCTGCCAAGATGAAGTTATTCGTGAGTTAAACATTAAATAAATTTATTTAGTTTTTATTTAAGTTTATTAAATCCCTCAGGATGTTCTTTTCGCTGTGCTGGCTGTTGTCCTGATGACTGCCATTCCTGCTTTTGGAAGTGTGGTTCCCCAGTGTCCAACTGGCGAAGAAGCTGCCCAGAGTGGAGGATACCAGATTACATCGTTGTCTCGAAATGCCCAACGACCTGTTCCCGGAAACTACAATACCGGCAGGAGGCACTAATGGAACAAGAAGTGAAGGCTTCAAAGTGACAATGATATGACCTGTGTCTGCACAACATATAATGCTCATCAAAATAAATTAAATCTCGTTTGGTCTGGAAAATACAAGTGCAGTAAAATCATTTTAGGTGGAAAATTCAGAGTGAGAACAAATAGCAAAGAATTCTACACATCTCTTGAAGTAAGTTTATTTATTGTTTTCAAATAGCGGTGTGTGCTTTCTAAAAAGCAAAACATATATCCAAAGCTCCCCTACTTAATTATTGATACGCCACCAATCTTTGATTTTAATTTACTGGTCCCACTGTACAGTGAGCTGTCGACATCGTCTGCCGCCAGGGCACACAACTGTTTATTGTGAAAATTGATTTATTATCGCGATGGCCGAGTTTCGCTCTCCCTTCGCTGCAGGCCTCCCCAACGACACACGCACACACACATGAGCACACACACACTTGCACCGCACTCCGCACCACTTGCACCGCCTGTCATGTAGCATGCACCACCATCAGCGTCATCGGCAATTGTTGTTGCCCCTGCTGCATATTTGCATCGATTAAAATAAGAATTTTACATGCGATTCGTGTTGTCGTCGCCCGGCTTTGTCTGCCGAACTCCAAGGGCCAAGGAGTGTTGATGATCCCCCCTTCCCCGCCTTTCCCCCCTCCAGTGTGAACTGCAATGTGCGGCTTAATAAATTTATAAATGCACCACCGAAAGGGGTGGTTCATGGGCGCAGTGGGGTAGTGTACTCCAGGGGAAAGGGGGAGAGGAGACTGCTTAAAAATGCATGCATGCATGAATTTTAACGAATTGCTGATGAAAATGTCGCATCATAAATTATTTCATATTTAGGGCCCCGCCATCGAATCGCTGGCGATGGTGGACAAAAGGGATCGGTCGGCTGGCTGGATGGATGGATGGATGTATCTGCGATCCGCGTGAGATAAATTGCACTGGCTCCGGATCCGGGTGCTTTTTGCTTGTTGGTTCTCCTTCTCCTTGATGCGCTGTTGTGTGCATGCATAAATTAAATTTATATTTTACTTTCGAGTTATGCGTCTGGGTAATTATTTTATCTTTCGGCCCCCCGAACACTCACAATGCGGCAGTTGGGCTCCCCGTTCCGGCAAACAGAAAACAGAGGGCTACGTGGTCATGCATGGCATTCAAAGGTTAATTGGCATTTTCGGTGTATTATTTTATTTCGGCCTTAATTGCCAGTGAGTGGCGCATGCACATGCACCACTTGCCACCCCCACCCAACCACGTTGAATCGTTTTGTTGCACCACCTTAAAGGGTGGTGGCATTCGCTGCAGGAGAGCGGGCTTGGAATTGTCAGTCGAGCACTGATTGATTGATTGACTGATTGGAGGCGAAAGTTGTTTGGTCGTGGGCAACATTCAGTTGAGATGTTTCGGGGTGGAAAAGTGTTTTTTGCGATGGGGTTACGGGTAAACTAGTTTAGTCTAGTCTGTCAGTTAGTAAACTTTGACAGTCCTTTGAATGTAACAACAGAGGATCCATTTTCCATTTTCTGATTTTATTGGAAATTTATTAAGCTTAAGATATGCTCTACCTTCAGTTAGTGTTTGTATAATATAATATAATAAACAGCGTAAGTTTTAATAAATCTCTTCCTATTTTTCTTTCTTAATGATTACTATTAGGAATCATAATTCACATTTCCCCCTTGAACTTCTACCATCCCTATCCCTCCAAATGATTCATCCATCAATCCGTTCTTAGATTACTTCTTACAAGTTGCATGTCAACGGGCAATTCCTTACGTTGCATTCCCTTAACTGCAAAATATGTTTGACTTGGGACCCCTTTGCCCCCCTTTACCCCCTCAACCCACAAAACCCATAAACAACCGACACTCGCGCACTCAGTCACGAGTGCAACTTGTCTTGCATGATGGCCGTGACCAAAGGCGGCAGATGGGTTCCAGAGGGGAGAGGAAAAGGGGGGGGTAGGTATAGTGGCAGGCGTCAACTCCGGCGCGCCAGAATTGGCATTAATGAGCAGACAAAGAGCTCAAACAACCGAACAGCAAACACCGAATGCCAAACACCCGAGAAGCAGCAACCATAATGAAGTCAAAGCAACAGGCCACTTAGCAGCTCAGCGAAAAGGGGAGGATTGGGGAGATTGGAGGGGGCAGCGAAGGGAGTGTGGAAAATGCGTCGATCAAATTAACAATTTAATTTCTAAGAAAACTAATTAAAAATCACGCAGCGCTTGCAGCTTCGAGGACTCGAGTCGAACTCCAGTGGAGTTGAGTGAGGAGCGCAGCGAAGTGGAGCTGTCTAAGCAAAAGACCTGCCACTCCGCCCCCGCCTCTTACCCCCTCCCCCTTCCCCTTTTCACTCCTTCCATGTCTGGCCATGAGTGGCTGCAACATGCGTCAAGCATTCGCAATTAGCGGAGCTGCAGTCTCTGTCAGTTGGGGCCATTAAAAGCAGGCAAACATGCCCCGCCAGCAAGCGTTCTGCCCGCCCGATGCACACACTTGATTTTCCAATCAGAACAGTCTCCCCGACCCCTCGAACCCCTCGAATCCACCCAACCCCCACCCAACCCCTTGGAGCTTGACGCAATCTACGGCCAGCGTCTCCTCAAGTTGGCCAGTCAGCAACGTCAGCAACATTTGTGGCAACGTCTTTGCAGCAACAATGCGGGAATTATTGAGGTGAAGGAGCCGCGTGGCAAGCGGACTTAGAATACCCTACCAAAAAATATAGTGCCTCAAAGTAGATCTGGCAATCACTTTTTTTACATGAAATATACTGCTTAATAGATAAATATACAAGTAATAAATTTGGCTATACAATAATTATCTTTGTTTTAAGAATAAAACTCCATTGCACTTTTTAAAATCAAATCTAATAAAATAAAAATATAGTACAAATAATGCACATGATTTATAATTAAAATTATTAAATTCGCATCATTTCAATTGAATTGTTATAATTTTTTATGTGTTTACTGGTTAATAAATGATAAAGTTTGCAAATCGAAATTTAAAACTGAAATTCACTTTAACACTCCACCCATAGAATGCAATTCTAAGTTGATTTTAATTGTGATAACTAGGAAATTGTAAATAATTCCAAAGACTTATTTAAGCCCCTTCTGGTGGGTAAATCCCGGTAAAATTGGATCATCGTTGCACCACCACACCACATCGTGCAGCAATAACTGGATCGCAGTGGTAAGTGTGCAGCAGAATCAAACGTGCCACAGAGCCGCACAACTTGCAGCTTGCAATTGCTGTCTGCCAGCGGCTGATGGATGGATTGCCCGTTTGACTGGCTCCGTTGCCTATCTGCCAAGTGCCCCCTTGTCCCCCTTGCCCCCATTGGCCACCTTACCACCTTGCCACCCTTGCAACCCGGCAGAAAGCAACGCAACTCAACTCAACTCAACGCAACTCTACTCCCGACTTGACTTGACTTGGCTCGCCTTTCCGAGATGCCACACATGCTAAACTATCTGCCCTGCCCTTACCCCATGCCCCATGCCCCATGCCACGCCCCTTGTTTGTTCGCGCTCGTGTGCGACTTGTCAAGAAGAAGAAGACGAAGAAACAGTAAAGAGGGCAAAGGGGGCGGTGGATCGTTGCCGGTTCTGTTGTACGTCGTCAACGTTGACTGCTAATAGACGCTCACGCTCACGACTTTATGCCACACATCACTCATGCGAATTGTCGGCCATCGCGGGGAGGGGGAAAAGGGGGGCACCTTACTGTTGCTGATGTTGCATATAATTAATTTATTATGTTGTTGCCGCTCGCAGCCTTTGGCCATATTTTGCGACGCTGCCATCATCGTCGGGAAATCCCCGCCACCCTGCAATCCTTGATTCCGTGTTGCCGCCTGCCTCTTGACGCATTTATGGCTGCATTTATAATGTTTGCCTTCTTGGATCGTCATGTTATTAGTTGTGCATTTGGAGTCGCAGCAGGAAATTGACTCGACTTGAAGTTGGGGCCCCTTTTGGATGACTGGCGGATTTTGCATCTTAAGATACAAATGGCCAATTTGTACGCATTAGAGAAATGCAATTGATTGTTCATTGAAGCAGATGAATATGCAATGTGAAAGAAACAGCTGGGGCTAAATACAATTACTTTTTTTAGTATCAAAAATAGTTATGGTAAATCAGATATATTTAATTCTTTGCATATTTGAGATTTATTAATTGAAATGACACAAAAGATAAATGCCTAAATACCCAGATAAGATGGCCAATAAATAACCAAACATTGTAATTTAAAAAACCTGCAGAGGCAATAAATAAAATTACCTAGCTAGTGAGTATTATTTCTCAGCACAACAAAAACCAACCCACAATTATTACCACATTTCCTCATTTTGATAGCAAAATAAATTGCAAGCAATCATTTAACTCTTTGGCTAAATTACATCAATTCCACACCCAGCGATTTTCCATTTAGACATTTCATTGGCTTCAATTCCCGTGAATTCAACCGACACGAGAGCAAAAGGTCGCACATTATTAGCGTTGATTTGTGCACTTTGTGAGGGGCACCACCCCCTACCCCTCCTCATCCCCCTTCGATCAACCAACGCCAAAGGCGAGCTGTCAACGCCTTCGGTGCCAGCAAGTTGCAACTGCAGTTTCAATCAATCAAACGCGAGGCGAAACGGATGTGGACATGCCACTTCACACACGCCACGAAAGCGCCCGAGGTTGTGTTGGCCAAAGGTGTCAACAAAGGTGTGCCACTGCCACAGCTCCAGCAATAACAACTGCAACACCAACAACAACAATAAGAAGAACAACAAAAACAGCAACAACAACGCGAAGAACGTCAACCACGACTGTTTGTGCAACTCCAAGTGCGGAATGAACGAACGGATATGTGGCAAAGTTTCCTGAATGGCATTCTGCTGGTGAAAGGCAATTTAATTGAGGGACTTCTCGACCGACCAGCTCTGTTTTCATTTCGTTATTAAGCTGCGAAATCGGTCCACGGGATGGCGAGCGAGGCGAAATGTTTGCACACCCAATTTATCATTTCATTTACAGCGCGAAACGCACAAAAATGCAACCGCATTTGGCCAACATTAATCATACGACATGTTGACAGCTGTCAGCGCTCTGCTCGTTGATTTTGTTGCCACTGCGATGTTGCCGCTGCCTTAGCGGGGATACTGCAAATTGCCGAGCTCAGTGGCCGATAAACATTTTAATCCACTTGCAAAGGGAACGAGGCGTGTTGCATTGGGCCAGTAAATTGGTGGCATTAAAGAAAAATCCAGCAGGGTAATGGGACTTTTAAAATGAGGTTCAATATCCTTCTTATCATCGTATTATACAAGGGTTCAAGAATTAAATAAAAATTTCACTCTTACAATGTTTTCTCTCATTAAAGAATAAATTACATATAGTTATAATATTCTCAGATAAATGTGATTAATAATTGAATTATATATTTACTACTAAAGTGATTGTATCTTTACGATTTCCCTATTATTTCCCAAATAATCCGATAGCTTTTTCAACCCTGGCCCATTGGGATCGTAATAAATCTTGCCGGCACACCACGCCAAATGAACAATGAAGAGTAATGAGGCCTGTGCCAAAAAGAAAAGAAATTCTGACTTGTCCACAGGAACTGAACCGAGTGAAACTGAGTGAAGGAGGAGGGATTGAGCGAGTGGCAAAGTACATAATAAGCTCATTAATCATGGGACACACAAAACCGAGAACTGAGAACCGGAAAACCGGAAGGGGAGTGCGACTGAGTAGAGCAATCATCATCCATATGGAGTGACTGTGTCACTCGGTTCTCAGCTCCAATCGTGCGAAATGTGGGCACATACATAACGTGACGTCTGGGGGCGTGTCGTATCTTGCAACAGTTTGATCATTAATTAGCCGGCATTTAATGTTAGATGGCCCCTGTGCCAGTGCAACATCATTAATCTCGCTCGAGAGCGAACAAATTGATGCCCCCTGGAAGCCCGAATGGCCTGTCTTGGCCTGGAACAAATCTAATATACTTCTTCTTTTTCCGGCATTTCCGTCTGGGCATTTGTTATTTCGAATTGTTGTAGAATTTTTCACAATTTTCACATTTTTCAACATCCGCCATGCCGGGATGGCCAACAATGGCCAACGAGCGAGAACCAAATATCATCATCATCAGAAGTCGGGGCAGCATCGTCATGGTCTTCATCTCATTGTCGGTTCCGTAATTCGAATCATTTATAACTGGGAGTGGACTTATAGTTTTGTCTATCGTACAGTATATACCTCCTTTAAATTTACTTGAACCATAATTTCTTCTTAAAAATTTACTATAAATACAAATATTTTATTTTAGATGTACTAAAATTTAAAAAGGAATAATATCGAATATTTATACAAATATTTAAAGGTAATAAATTTAAAATATTACCAATAATTTTATACATCGCAAACCAAGTTAAATGTGATTTTATCTGGTAAGTAATTAACGTTCTGTTTTATCATAAAATATATGTTTGGCCTTTATTATTTTTTTCATCAAAGTTGAGAGACTTTTTCAAGGGTATCACCTCGGCTTGAGCTGAAGTCTTCAAAGAAGTGAACGGTGGATCGGTCATTGGTCTGCACCACTGATGGCTACCGTCGTAATCTCGGATCCGAGACAGACGCCCGTCCATCTGTCCACCTTCTGTTCGCCTGCAATGTCCACTGAGATTTTTTGATTGATGGCGCGACTGGCGCACGTTGCAGTGCTCTTAAAATTTTTATAAATTATAATTTTTCCATCGACTGGCAAACATATTTTTCATGTCATGTCATTCCCCTCGCCAGTCCTGCAAACCGATTGATTGATGAAAATGCGAGGCGTGTACGAAATAAAAGGGAAGAAATATAATAATAATGATATATCTATGCAAATTACGGCACACAAATTATTAGTTTCGTGTTCTGCGAGGATGACGACGTTGGCTCTCGAGTCAGGCGACGGAATTTCATATTAATTTGCCAGCCATTAATCATTTTATGAGGGGGTGTCGCCGTTCTGCCTCGATTTCTTTTGGGCTGGTGTCAAAGGTGGCAATTTGTAGCTGCGTTGTGCCTTGCCTTAAGTGAATACTTGCCGCCTAATTTAAATAATTGAAACGATAAAGGTGAGTCGATAACACACACTTGAGTATATTTGATAAAGTAATATAATAATAATAACAATACGTTCAATTAAATTGAATACAAAACAATTCGTCATATTTGAACATTGTCGCTTATCAAGTCTCTTGTTTACTTTGGAATTTCTACGAGTTAATCTTTGTGAATTTCCGCAACTTCATTTTGTGGCCGTTTCCAGGGCTGGCCAGAAAATGGCATTCCTACCGACAAACTGTGGCCTGCCAAGCCCCGATATAGTTGAAAAACAAAAACAGAGCACTGCTGCACTTCATCCCGGCATATTCTCGACTTGACTCTGTTTGACTCCGACTCTGCGGCTAAAGGGCAATAAAAACTATTTACAGTTCAATTTGCTATAATATTTGCAGCTGAAAACCGCAAACGACAAATATGCACCAGCAAACCAAAGCGAGCCAAACCAAACCGAACCGACAACCACAGACAGGCGACCTTTTGCCGCTTCATTTTCCCACTAGGAAAAGCCTTCCGCTTGCGAGATACGCAAATAGCTTAAACTTTTTTTGCACAGTAGTGTTGTGGGGATCAGGGTATATTAACTTTATAAAAATTCGTAATGTATTATTCAATAAGGGTGGTAAACAAATAGAACTACTTTCGGATAAGACTTCCCAAAAGTATAAAAGGTTCTATGTTCAAGAAGCTTTATGATATTGGTAAGCCAATCGAATCTGTTGTATAGGTTTACCCATAAAACTTAAAAATGCAAAGTCGACCTTCAAATTTTCTTTTAGAGGGTATTGTCCTATCGAATCTCCCCATTGAAGGACTCCAACATGTTTAGCATTCGCTGGCGCATTCGAAGTGGAATCAAAGTTTATGCACACGAGGACATCCAGACGGGCAGGGAATGTTCGCCGGCGTATCTGAAAATCTACAGACAATAATCCAGTGTAGAATAGTGCGGGAGCACCGAAAGGGTTAGTTGCCATTCCGGCCACTCGACACTTTCCATGGCAAAAGTTATGCAACCAATTTACATACAAAAACAACTCAATAAACGTGCGAAATGCTAACGATTTGTAAAAGTTGGAATCCCCCCGATTCTCGCACACATGAGTGTATTACGTCCTGTTATTGGTTTTTGTAGCCATTCCACGAGGGCAGGCAAAACAGGATGGCAGCGGGGAGGGGAAAAGGTGGAGGGGATTTTCAGGGAGCCAACGCCACTGCCCTGGCAATTTAGCAAAGTATTTCCTCGGCGCTCTAAAAAGTTGCCCACTTTTTTGTTACAGCAACATGAGACGCATACTCGTCGTCTCGTAAACTGTGGGCTTATTTTCATGCCCGGTGCCATGAAAACGGAAATTGTGCATGAAAGCTGACTGCCAGCCATGCCCCAAATGCCAGAGGATTGCGACGGGGGAAGGGGCTGGTGGGGCACCCACTTACACGAACCTAACTCGATTATTATAATATTCAACTATATAATCCAATGGGAAAGTTTGCTAATAAGCTGCTAGTTGAGTGCCAGTTAACATTGCCAGTTCACCCGGGATTTGAGGAGGACTCAAGGATGGCTGAATGGGAATGTGGTTCGCTTTTATTGTTTGTGGATGGGGGGAGGGCAAAGGGGAATGTGGGGGAGTGGGGCGAAAGCTTCGAGTCAATTTCAATTTTGCCCGCACAAGGATAATTGCAAGTGTATGGGAATTGAACGCTTGATTCGCTCTTATTGAGATGATTTGGGTAATCGAATCAGCCAAGTTGATTGAGTGAATGACAGGTTAGCTTATGATTTACAATAGATATATCGTTAAAGGAACAGAATGCATATTAGACATAGTAGGCCTGTAGTTTAGAGTTTTTTGGTACCATAAAATTAGTTTTCAAATTTGTAAAAATTTTGCAGGGGTAAGCTGTCTGTGAAAAATAGACAGAAGGTGTACTTATAAAGGAATTTGATTTCTAAATAGTTTAATTAAGGAGGACATGTCAGGATTGACACGACGAATTATCAAGGAGACGCAGCGTCTGCTGGATGATCCAGTTCCCGGGATCGATGCCACTCCGGATGAACATAATGCCCGATACTTTCGGGTTGTCGTGGCAGGTCCTCAGGACTCTCCCTTCGAGGGGGGGATATTCAAACTGGAGCTGTTTCTGCCAGAGGACTACCCCATGAAGGCTCCGAAGGTTCGTTTCCTGACGAAGATCTACCACCCGAATATCGATAACTTGGGAAGAATTTGCTTGGACGTGCTGAAGGATAAATGGAGTCCGGCGCTCCAGATTCGCACCGTACTCCTTTCGATCCAGGCATTGCTAAGTGCTCCGAATCCGGATGATCCGTTGGCCAACGATGTGGCTGAAATATGGAAGGACAACGAGGCGCAGGCCATTCGAAATGCCCGAAAGTGGACATTGAAATATGCTGTCGAAAATTGATTGATACGATGAACAATAATTAAAAGGGATTTCTATAAAAAAAAGTTGTTAGTCTTCGAATGTTTTCGGATACATAAATTGTAGTTTATTCTGGCTTACATTATATTTCAGTTTAATGGAGTGATTTATTGCCTTTAAGGGTTAACTGAATTAAGCTGCGGAACTGGGTATTAACTAATTTATGTCTGAGAGTAATTGTCGCCCCCACGGCGGCTTGTCTAATTGCAACTAATCACACCGAGATACATGTTCAGCCACAAGTGCCTCGGCAACCAATAAGGCAACGGCGAGGCGACTTTCACTAAACCACGACCGACGTGGCATGAAAAATGACTCCGGGTCCAGTGTTCGCCATACAAAAGGCGACTGCTAACGGTATTTAATGACACATGAAGTCGTCAATCACTCAGCTCAGTAAATCCCGACATGTCGCCGTACCGAAAGTCTCTTTACTCGCTTTTGCTCCTCCCCCGCCACCCGCATTCCGCTCCTCGAACCTCGAGAACCCAGGCAAAATCAAACCCAAACCCAAACCCAAGCTGAAGACCAAACAAAATAAAACAAAACAAAAACGCCGGCGATGCGATGCCAAGCGAGTCGAAAGCGAAACGAAAAACGCTCCCGGTAGCAACACAATTTGACAGCCGCCTGACAGTTTAAATTAATTGATTTATATGGGGTGCCTGGATCGGAAAGTGGACACTGCTCGGAGGTTAGGGAGTGGCGCTTTCGCTTAATCGCCCCCAAACAAAGAAAGCTGCAGGTCGCTATAATCGACTAAAAGATACCCACTAATCGAATTACAAATAAAAGCCAGATAAAAACCTGAAATGTTGATTCTATTCAAAATGAATAACACTCTTACCTTGTTAAAAATTTAAGATTTATAGAAGATGATTTTTCATTTCCAATAAAAAAACACCTCTTAAACAAAAAGATTAAGTAATAAGGTGTATTTTCCAGTTTGTCTTGCTTTTACCAACAAATGAATATGGAATGTATCAAGAACCGTAAATACCCTCGAATCTTTTCAATACCCTTTATTTAAATACATTGATATGGACTTTCAATTAACTGAATGGCACCGTATTTTCCAATCACTGGGGAGTCTAAGACCCGCATTTAAGGCACTGCCCAAGGGTTGTATCACTATTTACCGTCGTGTCAAATGCGGCCCAAGTACTTGCCACTTCTTCAACGACCCGTCGAGACACCTGCCACACTCTCTGCCCAATTTATCAGCGGAGCTCCGATCTGGCGGTGTCCGATTTATAGACAGGGTAATAACATTATCGATTTGGTTAATTATATGATAAATTGTGGTGCGCCCTGGCGGGGAATTCGGCGATTATCTCGAGGGTTACTCAAGTGTCTGGCGCATAAATCAAGAGAGCTGTCACGCGAATTGACCCGGCCATGAAGCCAGTCGCGCCACTTGACTGATGGTCTCTTGGCCCCGATGCGATCTGGCCATCGATCTGGCGGGGCGGTGGCTCCCTTGCTTTGCATTTCACATTGCCACTTTTGTCGCCGCCACTCACAGATGCGTCAAAACTAACAAGATGGATGGCATGGAAACGCCAAAAGGCGTCGATCACCGATCGCCGATCAAGTGATCGTTGGTGTCTACGTCGCAACTCGATATCTTCGAGCAAACACTGAGGCAAACTCGTGGCGACTTTGATTTCCAGTCGTTATAATGTCGCGACAGCGTTTGATGGATGTTTTGACGCACTTATATAAGGAAATATTGTGGGGTTCAAGATATATTTCATTGTATTATTAAAAAAAAAGGGAGAAGAGAGGAGTAAAAATGAGAGTATGAAGTATGGTATTTCATTTTTCATTTACTCTTTAAATTTATTTTTATTTACAAGTATATATTTAAGCATATCAAATTTTAAAGCAGGAAGAAGACTAATGGTTAAAAGTGTATATATATTTTTTATCATTTATACATAATTTATAGTCAGAATAAGGAAAACATGCTCCAATTTTTAGTCCAGCTTATGGCAGCAATTTCCTTTTTCAAAACAATCACCCGTTTCCATCATGGATGTAAAATATTGATTGCTTCGAAGTGCCAACAAAACAAATCTCGGTTTATTTGATTTTTATTCGTCTAGCTGAGGACTCGCACCTTCCCTTCACTTATCACAGCATCCACTTCGGTTACAACTTCATTTGGGCAAATCTCTATAATCCCATCTGATTCCGATGGCACAAAACAAACTTGGCCGGTCCCTCAGACGGCAAATAACTCTTTTTCGCAGCCCGAACGAACGAACAATCCTTGGGCCGTCGTCGTCTCGTCCCCGTTTAATCCCGCTCGTAAGCATTTTGTCACATTTCAAAATCATTTATCAAGAGCTTTCACAACAGCAACCCTCACGCCCCGAATCCAACCGATCCGATCCGCATCCGCATTCGAATATGAACCCCATTCACATCGCATCTCTGTCACTGCACTGACAGTTGTGCACATTAATTTTTCAACACAGACTTTGGGAAATTTGTTCGGGCCACAAATTTCTCAATGCTCAATGGGAGACGACGAATAAAATACAAAATAAACATCTCTCTTTGTGTATTTATTTGTGTATTTGTATCTCAGTATTTGTATCTGTATCTCACCCAGCACTCTGCATCTTTGCAGTTTTTCTGAGCGTGTGTGTGTGTGTGTGTGTGTGTTTGTGTGCGTCGGGGCTAAAGTAATTTTTCATATCATAAATTTTCAAGTCAGTTAATCCCACACGCGGCGTTCGTTGTCGGCTTCTTGCACTCTCTCCGCCGGCTTTATTTATGCCTTCCGCCAGATTCTCCATCTCCGCCTGATGGCAGCTGTGACACTTTGACATCCCAGTGATAATTCATACTTTTGCATGTCATACTTAATTATGGCAACAGACTGTGTGGGTCTTTTATCATATTTAATTTCGGTCTCTTGCATTTCTTCTGTCAGGCACATCATTATTGCTCTCTTAGGCCGCCGCTGCCTCCTAGGCATCATCATCATCGTCGTATCGCCTGCGCAGACCCGAAAGGAACCCCATCCAGACCCGGCTCAGTTCACTAATTACTCGACAGACGTTTCCCAATCGTCTTCAAACTTAATTTATCACCTCGACTCGCCTGACTTCGTCGAGGATGATTAATACATTTCTCCCCACCGCCGGCGGCACACAAATGACATAGAATATGTTTCGAGAAAGGGTTTTTGTTTTCGGTCGGGCTTTTCATATGCCAAACACATCAATCATCGCCGGCGTTTGCGAAAGGGCTGGCCCACAGCGAAAATCAAAATTCCAGCTAAATCAGCTTAGCGATTCTGAAATTAGTGACATGTCAACAGGCGAGGCAGGGGAGCCCGAGGATTTGGGCCCAAAAACCACAGAGGAGATCAGCAATCGTATTGGGTTTATTTCCCTAAGTTGTGGGGTAGTTAGGAAAACTCAAGGAGTTGATAAATAATACATACATTTTCACAAATTTCCGACTTTTAACAGGTACACAAACTTCCATAGAACACAGCTCAACAAATAATAACATGTGTAATATTTTTAAGAACTCCTAATAATAAAGAGTTAAAAATTTTGAATAGTTGAAGTTCTGTTTAGTTTGAGTAGGCATTACTTTTGGTATGATCAGTAGGTCTTTCACTATAAAGATTCTTAAGAATGCCATTTTTAAGCACCTTTAAGAGTCCTTAAGTGAGGGTATCTTGGCTTCGCACAACCCACTCAGCTCTTGGCCTCCGCTCGATGTGGCTGCCATCTCGCTGAGTGATGTGCGGCCATCAATCTAAACTCATCATTTTGAAGGCGCGCTGTCAGCCATAATGACCGAGGCCAGGGCAAAAAACTATATGGAAAAATGTCAGACGAGACTCACATGATAGATCAGAGGGGGCGGGGAACCAGAGGAGGAATCCAGGAGGGGATGGGGCTAACTGCGATGGGTCACACAATTCCGCACACAGAGTCGTCAATCATAATTTATAAATTGCTTTGCCAACTGATGTGCGCGGGGGAGTGAGGATGAGGAAATCCACATATATTCGAGCTGTGTTTTCGCCTTTGTACTCGACTGTGTTTTCTTGCGCGCTTGTGCCATATCCAACTAATTATTCAACGTCTCATTAAACAAATAAATGTGTCAGAGAAACATTTGTTTCCCATACATCACGGGCCAACACGATCGCCTCCATTGCAAGAGAACGCGAAGGCCGCCAAATCACGTCATGTGAAAATGACAAATCAAATGAGATTAACACTTAATTTCCTTCCGAAAGACGAAAACAGAAATAGAGTGGAATATTTCATCGCTCGGTGCGCATTCCTCGCTCGGCGGTGCCTTAACCCAAGCGTTCTTGATAGATGTTCTGTTCTGTGCATAATTCAGGGGAAATCACCTGACAACCGGCCATATGGGCCGTGAAATTAAAAACCATAATTAAAATGTTCCTCGGGCCCGGGGTGATTGTTCCTTCTGTGGGGCCTTACCAGTGATTCACGCGTTGAAAGGCAGTCCGCTGGGTATTCAGATCCCTTTGGCATATGCGAATAATAAACGGCAATATGGTGTCATTCAAAATGTCAGCACATTTTGTTAGAGTTAACTTGAGTGTCATAAAAAATCAGATTCACCATTGTTAACATTTTATTTTGGATTATTCGGTGTGCCATTTTTTAAATTTTCAAATTAGTTTTTGATTAATAATGTATCTAATGTATCTAACCTCAAGTTTCAATTCAACTTGCTTAGTAACTTTTTAAGCAAAGCCACCTCATCTTCAATGTCTAGCATGCAAATGGTTATTAATTGATTTATGAACATTTTTCGATCATAAATTTATTTCTTCCAATCCTTTTCTTGGTCCAATTGTGTCGGTTATTGGACATTTAAAGGCTCCTCAGCTTGTCACCGCCCATTCTCCTTATCACTTGCCGCATTCCCAGTGCCAGACTGCAGAAACATTTGATGCTCGTCGTGCAATTTATTGAGCACATCAATCAAAGTGGCAATTCCATTTGAGTACTCCCCTCATTGTTTTTGTTGCCGCGGTGATTCTCCGCAAATAATTGCACATTGCACATGCCTGTCAATGGGTGTGGTCAGAGCCAGGAGGAGACAAGACTCGCCAGCAATCGTCACTCTAAAAATGGGCAAAACAAAAACAGGTCAATCATCGATCATGGTCATCACCATCATCAGCAACGTAGCCGATGAGCTGAGCCACATCCTCGTCGCCTCATTATTGATGAGCCCGAAGCACACAGACTGGTCAGTGGTGCTCAAAATATATTTTAAAATGTGGATCAGGCCAAGAGATAAGTTTGTAAAAATACGACAAAATATATAATAACCATTTCTGTGCATTTATGTGAATTTATGCCATATTTAAAATTAAGAATAAAAGAGTAAACAGGCAAGTTAGATGAAATATGAGATTGAAAGCAACTATAATTCATTTGTAAATTAAATAAATTTTTATTTAAATATTAAATTAGCATATAGAGCATATCCAGAAAAGTCTGAATCCTTTTAGACTAAAGCCAAATTGCCATCTCTGATTCGCACTCAGCGGCAAAGACAGGGTCCGTCATCATCATCGCCGGTCCTTCCCATCCATACCAGATAATATCTTTTTGCAACAAATTTTTGACAGCTTCAATGCGGCCTGGTTCAGTTCGGCTCGGTCTTGGCCCGTATTGGCCCGGTCTGGTCTGATGGGGCATGGTTTGGTGGGGCAAGGTCTGGTGTAGAGTGGTGGGGCATGGAAATGCAGGCGAGTTGTGCTCGGCCTGTCGGTCGGCATTGTTGAGACCCCTCGGAGTGCTGTTGGGCCTGTCACATTTATCACAAATTCAATGAATAATAATTTTTGCACGCTGTGTGATGTGACGTGCTAATGTTATCTGATTGGAATCGCCGATGAAGCAACAGGAGAGCACACCAACACCACACCAGATGGGGCAGGAAATGGGGAGCCGGGAGGCAGAGTACTCGAGCCGCTTTTAGCTTTTAAATATTAATTATGGTCCCTTTTTCTCGAGCGGCTTTCGACTGCCATTTTGTATTATAAATTGCATTCCCGATAAGCGGCGAATTATTGATCGATGCTGGGGGCACAAAGGAACCGAAGAGGGTTTATCTCGAGAGCGAGCGATCATAATTTAAGGCGACGATCTGACGTTTCCGGTTTTGATTGATGGCCTGGCGGCCAGCGCTGTAAATCACTGGGCTTACTCGCCGCTTATCTGCCACAATATCCACAAGATAAACACGCTAGCATTGGATTTATAGATACTGTCGTATAGTTAAGTGCAGTCGCCCGCTCTCGAATGCGGCGCCTACTGGAATTACACTTTGTCAGCTTTATGGTCCCTCATCGATCACTTGGCGAGCGGAATGCGGCAATCTAACATCAACATTGGCTATAAGATAAGCGAACGGATGAGGGAGACCTGCCCATAATTCCAATACAAACAGGGCAATTGTTCAGTTATTTGATCAAGATTGGATCTAAAAGCAAATACATGTTTGCTGTATGTTGTACGGAATATACGGATATGACAAATTTATTTACTTGCTTAAGAGAAATAACTAGAAAAAATATGATATTCAAATACACAAAGTTTTTTTTAAATGCAGTAAGCTTTACTTATTTAATTATTAACGAATATTTATAATTTTCTTTTAAAGGTTTAAAGTGATTTATCTGTATTCGTAGCTAAAGAGAATTTATGTGTATCATATGCCACTAATCACTCATTAAGCAGGACTACACATCGCTCTTTAAATCAACCATGACCTCGTCGAGTTCATAAAAGTGTTGCTCGATCAATTGATTTTGGCGATCGCTGCCATCAATCACACACGGACTCACGCCCCGAAAACTCTCGAGGAGATCTCCCCGATCCCCTTGAGGAGCGGAGGAGACTGCTCTCATTGGATTCGACATGCAGTGTCAGTGAATAACCCCGCTGGCTAATCAATTACAAAGAGATGCCAACATGTCAGACCCCAGACAGGCAACAAACAGCCCGGCGAACAGTCAAGGCGAATGGCATGAACGGCAGGGAAATTCGGAAAAGAAAATCGAGCGCCAAATTACTTTCAACACGGTGCAGTAAATCGTAAATCAAATGAGTGTTGAGGAATTCGCAAACAATTCCAAGAATGTTGTGTGTACAAAAGACCGTTGACAGTTCTTAATTGCAAAGGATTTTCTCATTTCAATTCGTTTCGTTTCGCTGCGTTTCATTTTGGCAAACAGTGAATTTTTCGAACGTTTCGCCAATTTATTTTTATTCTTATGCCTCGCACTCGTGGAATTTTTAGCTATATGCTCGAAAGTATTGCTGAAGTAATTCATGCAAATCGGAATTCTTTTTTTTATAAAATTTTATTTTGGGTAATAAAATACATGGGAGGCAAATAAAGATTTTGGGATAAGCTATAAGCTGCCAAATAAATAATATAAATGTACAAAAGTATTTATAAATATTTTCTTTGTATAATTCAACAAAACAAATCACTTTGCTCAAGCGAATTTTATTTTTAATGCAAAGAGGGCTTACCTTAATTAAGAATATATTGTATTGAATAAACTTATGTTTTATGTTAAAGTAACAGGTATTGAGCTGTCTAAACTAAACCAACTCATCAAAGAGCTAGTACAACCAGAGAGACAAACATTTTCCAATTTGATGCAGGGGCAACGGTAAACATATCGAACGACTGCACCGCGTCTGACTTGATTTGCATGTGACGTACGATAACTGTCAATATTTTTTGGCTCTGGCTCAAGAGCCAGCTCCACTGACAGCTGTCAACGCTCCTCGCCTGTCGCCGCGCTTGAGACGGAAACAAATTTGTAAAGTACTCTGGCAGCAGCAATTTTCCTTTCTCATGTTGCGCTGCCTGTCCGACATGAGGGGAAAATTGAAATAAATGTTTTCGGTGGATTTCGCTCACCCGCAAGCCAGAAAGCACCAGAAAAAAATTGTGAAAAAAAAAAACACGAATGTACAAAATACAGTGAAAACGACGCAAATTTATTAAAAACTTTGCCGCAAGCTGGGCAGGCAGGAAGCGACGGCAACAAAGAGATTCCACTGAGACCCAAAGAAATATGATAGGGGCTTTGGCCGACTGCGTACGTGGAGCGACTCTCGTGTGTCGGCGCCTGTCAAAGTGTCGACATGCGCAAATAACGCTAAAGGATTTGTCACTGCCAGCGGCGCACACACCCATCAACACACACGCCCCGCCCCGCCAAAAAGTAAAATCTGTCACGGCGGGAACAATGCGAAAAGTGAAAAACGAACTCCAAACTGTTGCCAACTCTTGCTTTTATTATGCACTTTATGCCACAGCGGTGGTTCTCGGTAAATAATTTTGGTTCGCAGTGTGAACTGATTGCTGCAGAGACCACTTAAATGTGATCAAATGAAAACTAGTCTGTTTTTCACAATAAGTGGTTTGGATAAATATAAAATATATGTACATTAAATTTATTCTCTTTTAAATATAAAAAATCTTACCATTTTGCTTCTGAATCTCTCTGAAGTCAGTTTGTTTCATCTTAAGGATAATAAGATTTCACAAGATAAAATGCATCCTTTGCTGAATTCAAAGTTCTTAAAAACTTGCACCGCCTGAAATGAATTGTTGTAATAAAGTCAATCAGCCCGAATTCGAACTAACGACTTAAGCACTCGCCTGCTGATAAACTCAATCTGAAATGTCTTGCCGGCTCAGCGAGTTTTCCACATCCCAAAGCCGAATCCGAATACGAATCCGAATCCGGATAAATTACAGCGTAGTGCGGCGAGTGAAATGAGGAGTTTTTCCGCAGCTGTTGCTGTTTGGCATTGTTTTAAGTGGAAATGCCTGTCAGCGTGACTGTTTGACAGATTGTCTGGCCCGAGACTGATGGCCCACGGAGAGGTGTGAGTACGAGTACGAATAAGAGTACGAGTACCAGTATCTGTGTATCCGAGTATCTATTTGAGTATCTGGGAGTCAGTTGCGGAGTGATTAAATGCGGCGCTTCTGTTGTGCAGCGCGTGAGTCAGAATAAAAAGCAGCGACACGCAAAACCGTTTACACTTATCAATCTTATCGATAAGTGTAATGACATTTAACACGCCGCACATCCCCCCAATGAAATCGGTTCTCCAATTGGCGGCGTGTTTACCTATCCGTCGGCTACTGGAGGCCCACAATCACTATCTCGCCGAGTCTGTAACTTTCGGGGTCGAATGAATGGTTGCTGCCATTGTAATTTATGCGCTCGCTCGTTCATTTGACATGTCAAAAGTTGTGTCACTTGATTGATGACTGCTGTCAACACATACTCTCTAATTTTTTCGTTTTTGTTTCGCCCCGTACAATATTTACTGAATGCGGTTAGGCCGCAAAAACAAGAGAAGGGGTTCAGTTCGGTTTGGTTCCGTAGAGTTCTAATTTTTGTTTGTATATCTCACTCTGCCGCTCCGATCCCTCGCAAACCCCGTTATCGATGCTCGCCTTTCGTGTTGAGGTTTCTCCCTACCGCAATGTGAACATATTGCATATTTTGTTTGGACCGACAGGAGATTGATGAGCCCTGCCTGATGCCTGTCACATGCTCGAATCGATGGCTTTTGTGCACGGCCTGACTTTTTCTGCACTGGAAAATATGCCCACATCATTTTTAAAAATGTAATCACTAGCATTGACAAGGATTCTAGATTGTAGATAATTTCCAATTTTAATATCGCATATCCCCCCCCTCATTTCGATTTAATATACAAGCTTGGCAGTCTTTAGATCAGAATATTCTGAAGTGAGGAGGGCACCGATAAGCTACTAAAAATCAATAAAATATAATTAATTGTGAAATTTATTTAGTATCTGATCTGGGTAAAAAGCATTCTTTTTTTTCGGTGTAATCGTTGTCCCGCTTCACTTTTTACAAGGCAACGCAAAGGAAGGGAATCGGAGGAAGACGGAGAGAGTCATCGACGCTTGACAGCAGTGCAAACAAATTGTGGCGACAGGAAGTGGGGGCGGTAAGGAAAGTTATTCCCTTCTTTTGGACTCGATAGGCAGCGCCCGAGTTACGAGGTTTACGTTTCGAGTGTCCGTGTCTGGGCGCTGTGTGAATTGATTGATGGGTCTGCCAATGCCGCCTGACGGCCAACGAGTCGTCGAAGCTTTTTTGGGCTTACTTGCATTTACTGTGTACTCAGGAAGCTTAGCGAAAGTAAAGGGAAAACCCACCCAAAAAATTGCAGTAAACAACGGTGCCCAATACGAGGCCTCGTATTGGAAAAATAAAATTGAATTGATACCGTTTACTTTTTTGGCCTATGTTTTTTTTTTTATTTTAATGATACAGCTCCTTTCCAACTTATCGACAAATTGAGTTTGCTAAATTTTTCCAAATCCATAACTTTTCTAATTTTAATCAGATTTTGAAGTGGCATGCCTCTAAAGGCTTGTATTTTAATTTTCTAACAAACTCCATCATTTCATTTTTGTTGTATTTTTTTTTTGACCAATTTTGTTTAATTTTTTATGATACAATTCCTTTCTAAAGTTCCAAAAAATTTAAATAATGTTGAAATGAATCAGCCTTTATGCACTTTGATTTCGACTCGCCGAAGCTAGCTTCCTTTCTTGTTTTAAAACTAATCCCGGATAAAAACTCGATAGAACCGCAATAAATCTATAAAAAAAAGTCGCAGCTCAATCTGAGCTGTCCAATTTTTTCATCTTGATGATTTCATTAGAGCTCCACCCCAATTAGCCCCACTCCGAATCCCCGCTCTTAGTCCACGCGATAAATAATACGTTAGTACAAAGGAACCACAATTAACCATCAAATATCGAAGGACACACCACGCGGAACACTTTCCTCTGATCCTAAGCCCCCCCCTCTCGTTCGCACACACTATCTTAACAAAACGGCAATCAATTTCGCGCGCTGTAAATTAACAATCACGGGGGAGTGGGAGTAGAGTACCAGGGGGCGTTCGGCGGGAAAGGACACAGCACGGCAGCTGCTAACTGCCACGAGGGGGGATTCCCCCAGCGGCAGAACGACCCCTCTTGGCCAACCATGGCCCGCAATCAGCGTACATTAATATGCACGAAAACAATAAACAATCCGAGGGACGGGAAGGAGCACCAACTGAATGGTGAGACTTTCAGGGGCGGATGTGGCCAAAAGGGAAGGGGGAGGGGGGCTGCCAGGGGTTTTGGGCAGAGGCGTTACAGCGGCAATCATGCAAAAAGCAAGCAAACGCCGCCATTATGGCCATCCCGCTCCCACCAACACCGCCAACAGCCCATCTCGCTTCCTCTGTTGGCCCGACTCAACTGACAATATTTATTGCAAATGCAGCAATAAATTTCAAAACACCATTCGCTAAGCACCACATGGGGTCTCGAAAATTGAAGATAAATTTTAAGGCGGCAATTTATGATTTGTGAGCATAAGCGTGAGTCAGGGGCGTCGAAGGGGGATTGGGGTTGGGGCTGGGGTTGGGGCTGGGGTTGGGGCTGGGGTTGGGGTTTGCTTTTGGCCGCGGCACAATCGGCCAAGTCCGCCGCTGACAAGTGTGGAGTGTTTGCCGCCGCACTCCTTCACTCAGCAACTAGCCCCGTCCCGCTCGCACCCCATACAGTCGCGTCCCACTCCCACGGCCCGCTCGTTTTTCAATTGTGTTTGCCGCGATTTTACGACTGCCCGCTGCGCCTTTGACAGCAGCCCGAGCCGATCCGGTCCAAGGAAACCCTTCAAGGCACTGAGAAAAAATGTGATCATCTTATTAAATCCCCTTCCAAGCTGTAAAAATAAAATCCTTGCAAGAGTAATCATCATAATTAAACCGAACTTAAATAATATCATCTCTATCTTGGTAAAAAATACACAATATTTTGGGAAAAATGATATAATTGTAATAACCATTTTTTCGCAGTGAATTTCGTAGCCTAAGACTCTTTGCCATAGAGCCGCGGAATTGTAGAAGGGAATTGGTTTTCGCCAAAACGGAAAGCAGCGAAGGAAGCGGAAACGGAGGGCATTGCAATGGGTTAAAGTCTCCCTAGGGGCCTTTAACTGGCATTTGAAAAATTACCTTAAGCAAAGCTAGTTAAAATATTTTTCAGGGAATTGTCAATCATAATGGCGATTAAAAATGACAAAGCAAGGAGATACATAACAATATAAAACAGAATTTTCCCAAAAACATAAACATTATTGGTAAGATAGATGCAATCTAAGAAGTTCCAACAATGCCTTTTCATCGTTAATTGTATTTAATTTCTATAAAAAAATCCCAAAAATATCTGATATTTAATAACTAAATAAGTGGTAACTACCGCAAAGGTTTATATGAAAATATATGTGACATTGATTTTGTGAATTTTTTAAAAAATATTTTTTAATTTATGTCTTTAAAGCAATTACTATACACCACTGTGCAGAGCAGGATAGCGGAGCTCTCCTTACAACACCTTGGTGCAATTATTCATTCACTTGCTAACCGGAGCGGCGAAGAAGTGCTGGCGGTAACCAAACCGCCAGACAGAATCTCCATCGCTCCACCGCAGAAAAAAAAGAAGGCAACGGCGAGATGCAAACAACAATCCGCTTCAAGTCGAAAATAAGAAAAAGGTTTATGAATGCGCTCATGAAAAATGGAACATCGTTAAGAGCAATTCATAATGAAATACGCGGCATGTTGGGGATTGGAGGGAAAGTTCTCCGGACCTCGACCAACTGCAATAAGCTGAGCCCAGGCGGTCGATCTCGACTTTTTTTCTCTTGTTTGGTTTCTTCGCTGGAAGCAGCATAAAAATTATGACCATAAGCAGGATATTGGGTTAAGGTTTTATTATTCTTACCTCCTTGTGTGTTGCCAATAAACTTTGTTGCTGCAGCTGATTTCCACCTTTCGGTTTCTCCTCGTTTTCTTCCTTGGCCAAATGAAGCTGTTGCAGTTCCAGACGAAAGCGGTATTTCAATCAGAGCTGAAAAATAAGGGCATGCCATATAAATATATATACATACACTCCATATACATACATATGGTGCTATGCAAGGCTTATCAATAATTTCGTTTTCATATGCGCATCGTCAGAAAGATACAGATGGGGCCATAAATATGATTCCGGACCGGAGTGGCTAGGGAAATTTATAGAGTCTGTTGGCCGGGCTGTCAGGTGAAATAAATAATAAATTCGTTATTTTTCGAGGCACGGCCAACGAAGTCCGTGGCGGTTGGCTATCAACAGTGCAGAACAACGACAATAACTCCAGGGGCGTATGATGGAGGCACGCCCACAAACACTGGCGACCAAAAAACTGAAAAACTGAGCATCGAACATTGGATACCGAAGACCGAACGTCGTGCTCCCTGCACAGCTGCAAATCGCACTCGGACATCGTGGGGGCCCGATGGGGAAACAAATTTGAATTCAATGAAAGATGAAATCATTAAGTTTGCAGGCAATTGAAGGCGGCTGCGAATGCGGTTGGCTTTAATCGTGCTGGAGTCGCACAATGCCACTCGGATCGGATCGCCTCGGATTGGGTTTGGTTTGGGTTTGGCTTGCTTTTCTGTCGGGAGGAGGCGATGAGATTGCCCCGGCTGTTATGACACAGCCCAGACATTCACCGAAAAAATGTTGAAAGGAAGTAGTGCTGCCCCACCGAGAACTCAATTAGGAATGGTTTTAAAGCTGCGAAAAGGAGGATTAACATAATTGTTGGGGAAAGGTTAAATTGCGTCTCCAGGTGATAAAGTGTTAGAGCAAAAAGTAAATGTGAATCATGTAACATTATAATTTATAGGTAGATTAGAAGGTTTACTTTATTTAGTCTGATAAAGATTTCCATTTATTTTATCCTATTTATATAGATTTGAAATTATTTATTTGTTAGGACCTTTGTGTGCAATTCAACAATAGATACCACATTTTTCCACATTCATTATCGGTATGCACTCCTGCCAGTGAACCACTGAACCCAAAAGTAAAAATGTTAATTCCCTGGGAATTGTCGCCACTTCGTGCACAAAGGAAAAATACGGTGGCTAATGAGAGGCATAATCAACTTCCCATATTGCATACACAATTGATGCCAATGCCCGGTCCATGCCCAATAAATATCAACAGCCACACAAATTTGCCTGTTGGCCAACTGGCAACTTCAAAAAGAAACAAAAAACGAAACCCACAAAAAAAAAAAGGAAAAGAAAAGAAAAAACCAAAGCCGTGAGCCAAGAGAGCCGACAACAAAAGCGCACATAAATCAACGATCAAGACAATTGCGGTGTAATAATTTTAACTTCTTTAAGTCGGCAGCCAGCCCACACCGCACACCACGGCGCACCACCCTGCACCACCGAGCACCACCAAGCACCGTGCACCACCGATACCACTCCAAGTCGATCCGATTCGGCGGGGGCCCATAAAAATAACAGCTTATCGGCAAGAAGAATCGTGTCGTGACACGCCTACCAACTCAAAAAGGCATTAAAATATGAAAACAACAATTGCACACTCGCTGGATGGCAAGAGGGGGAGAAAAGGGGGGAAGGGCGAGGGGGTGGTGCACCACCTCCAGGGGAAATCAACAGCAGTCTGGGAGTCACAGAGTGGCCGACACGCCCCCTTTTCTTCATTGTAGGCGTCAGCCGTTGGCAGCGGCACGTTTTCCTCCGTGAAATTCCAAACTAGCCCCAACCACCCGCAGCATCCAATTGCCAGGCGACTCAACTCGAATCGACTCGAGTCGAGTCGAGTAAGAGGCTAAACCGAAGATATATAGGTGTATCAGGAGGAGCCCCTCCGCCCACTGTCCTTGTGCCCCATCGCCATTGTTCGTACCACCGACGGTTGAAAGTCGCGGGAGGGATCGGTTTCGGGCGGGAGCGACGGTTACAACTTAGTTAGCTCAGCCAGAATTGCTGGCGATATCTCAATTTGGAGCTCATAAAAATAACGAGTAATAGGCCATGTCCAAAGCGGGGGCAGAAATAAAACTATACACGAAAGGATACCCTTTAAAGGAAAAAATATAAGATACACTCTATTAATCTTTGGATATTTACACACGTTTTAAAATATGATCCTTAAACCTAAAAGTATTAGTAAGTAATATGTTTGCAATATTATTATTGCATACTCTTCGGGGATTTAACATTGTAACTAAGTAAATCTAAATCAACTCAAATTTATCATGATTTCTGTTTGTTTATTTTTTAGGAAAAAACTAAGAAGGCTTTTGGCTATTTAAACAATAGGGTGCCCCCAAAGTAGACAGTCTCATTACCGTCACAGTTTTTACCTACCAACATCCTCATAAGACACAATAGGATCTGAACTTCAAAACACAATACAAAATATATTCCATAACCCAAAAACCAAAAAAAAAAAAAATTCTGCATTTTGGAACCCGTTCAGATGTTTGATCAACCCCAAATTTGGGTACATAAAATTTAAAATGGCAACCAGGCAGGCCACTCCTCGCCAGCTGGCTTACCTCGACGAGCTGAAGATGCGTCTTCAGGAGCTTCGCGATCGACAGGCTTCCTTCATGGAGCAGACTGCCAAGATTCTCAGCAGGATGAGCTCCTCCAACATGGTAAGCGAATCGGATGACGAAAACTCTTTGAAAAAAGGCGTAAATGGAACACCTTTGAAGGGCGTAAATGGTGGAACTTCCAAAGGATCCAAAGGCACTCTCAATATTAAACAGCTTATCCAGCGATTCGAGGATCTGCGAAAGAACTCACAGGTAGGATAACTAAATAACTATAATACAAATCAATGGATTATAATATTGTGGGTTATGAATTATTATTTTACTCTACAGGAATTTGATGATTTACCCGATGTTCCCGAGGAGCTACTCAACGTGGATGTGCGTCGCATTCTAAATGGCTACGAAAAACTCATAGAAGATGGAAGTGTACTCCAGCAATCCTGGTATCTGCTCAAAAAATCCACTGAAAGTTGTGCCCGTTTTGCCAGCACCAACGGAATGAAATTGGAGGAAGAAATTACTCCGTTCCAGGAAAACTCGGGAGTCGTTGAGGTTTCTTATGTTGTTCCAGAACGGAGTCCGGAGGTGGTAAGAATACCCTCAGTTAGGAAGACTACATCGAAGACATCATTAAAGACTACATCAAAGACTGCATTGAAGACTGAATCCAAGACCAATTCCAAAGCTGCGTCGAAAACTTCTTCAAAATCTTCTTCAAAGATTGCACCCAAGCCTCCAATAAAAACTTCATCGCTGCACTCGAATGTGGCCACCAGTGCAGAGATTGTGGACAAAAAATCAGAGGACTTCGAGCCAAAAGATGTCAAGTTGAAGGGAAATTCCCATGATTATGGTAAGAACTAAATGCATTCCATTAAGAACAGTTCCATGTAGCCTAAACCGAAAGCTTTAATCAAATAGTAGGTCACGCCCGTTGGGGAGCCTTCATGCAGTTGATCGTACGCCTCCTTCGTCCTTTCCACGGCTGTTCTAAGAACAAGAAAAAGCGAACCCGCAACCATTCGAGCAACGGAAATGTCTGGTATCTGCCGCAAATGAAGACCATCAAGTAGGCACTTTGAAATAGCCAACGCCAGCCATACACAAAATGCACAAGTGAAGATCGAAACTAAGCCAAAGCAATTCCCATAGTCGCCACATAATCCCAACGAAAATAATCCAATAAAACCCGACCCACACCCCCGAAAAGATGCGTTAATCAATGGCCAACACCACACGTCAGCGTGTCAATATTTTGCCTAATTAATGTGGCCCGGCTTGAGCGCAGTGGCGCATCAATTTCGGGTGTCAAGTGCAATGAGGGGGAACGATCGCTCTGTGGGTCCCTCGCTCCGTATTCCGGACCACCATCAGCTAATGTAGCCATATAGCCATATAGTCATGTAGATATGTAGTCGAGTAGTCGAGGCTATAGCCGTGTGATGGCGACGTATGGCAGCAACTGCTGCGCTGACAGCGCATTTTAGTCGCCCATGGAATACCGAAAATAAATCTTGCCCTGTCGTGACACAGAGCGGATGATGCACAGAGAAAAAAAGGTTTGGTAAAATAACAAATTCATAAAAATAAAACTAAACTTGAACGAGAATTTAAAAATTATTACAAATAAATTAGAATACATTTACAAAACAAACCAACAGAATATGCTATGATAAACTTATAATAATTGTCAGAGTATTCTCACATTTAGGTGCTCATTGTATTTTATTCATTTTAAAATTAGATACTGCATTTCTAGTTCACCTATTATTTTTGAAGTGCATCAAAGGAGTGATATATTGTTTGGGGAGGGGTATGAACACTAAAAGCAACGCAGACAAAATACTTGGCCCCACACAACACACACGCATAGCGAGAAGTAAACATTTAAATTTAAATTAAGTGGCTTGTTCGGCATCTCCGAATGCAGCAGCTAATGAGCGGAGCCCACTCCATGTGGCAGGAATGGAGGAGGAGGAGGGGACATGTGGAGGGCGGGGATCTCAGCAGGAAGCTTTCAGGTTGGGATTATCAAAGAAATTGATATATTTACTTAAGCGCATGCCCATTTATCTTGCTGGGCTTAGATATGCATCTTTGTTGGATCTGATTAACTTGCATTTCCATCTGGCTGACAGTTTTCCATTTAAAATATTGATTAAGGTGTTTCAAAATATATTTTTATAACAAAACCTGTTGGTGCTTGACTGCACCTGTTATCCACTAGCATCCTGTGGGATAAATCAAGCTGCACACATTTATAAGTACGTAATTAATTATAATTAAAATTACAAGCATTTAAATCAGAAATAACAAGTCGAAACTGGAAGGCAAACACGAATTCCAGCCACACCTTAGCTGGCCATAATAAGAAATCATGTTTGGCAATGATTTGTGGCATCGAAGTCGCAGTGGAGTGTATATATATCCATATATCCATTGATCAAGAGGGGAATTACATTGGGGGCAGGTGCTTATCTGCGGAGCTGACACGATTGGCGATGACGATGCCGATGGTAATCTGCGACATGCGGCATGCAACCAGCTAGAGAGCAAACAAAAAATACAGATATACACACACGATATATAGATATATGTGCGACGGACAACGATGCCGCAACATGTGTCCGCGGATCAGCAAACGAGTTGCAAAGTGGCTGACACCGCTGTTTCGTTCCGTTGGCGCTTGAATCGTTTTGACCCGCAACATTATTTGCCGTTTGCAGGTGGAAAGACCACCGAATATGGCAACCCAGACCACATTGTTCATGAGGTTTGTTTGGACACAACGGCCCCAAGGTTTACACAACGTTTTAACCTCTCTTATGAGTTTGGTTAATAGATTTGATCTTGATTGTCTAGTACATAAATCATATGCTGAATTAGGGGACGAAGTGGGTCATCGACTTTTAGTAAGAATGAAGAACTGAAGTTTTTTTTATGTAATTATAATATAATATTATAATTATTATAATTATAATTATAATTTAATTATGAGTACTTCAATGTGTTTAAGATAAATTCCAGATTTAATTGACCTATCAAATACAAGCTCTTTGGCTTCAATTTATAAATTTCCAGAAACGTTTCTTCGTATATTTATATAATTCTTTCTTAGGTTGTCCAGTAGTTGTTTATCTACCTTTGACCTTTTGCATCTGAAATGCTGTTTACCCAGACTGTAAGTACACATCTGAAGCAGTGATTAAATAAAAAACTGAGCTATCACCGTGTAAACATCCGAAATGTCGACGCCCAGTCAAACGTCGGGAATCGGGATTGTTAAATCTAGTTCCGCGGAATGCCCAACAGTTGTTAACTGACATAACAAACAGTTCTGGGAATTCGTCATCGCACATTTCACAGGGGCGGAAACCCGACGGAGCACACGCCCACCTACACAAGAATGTGGGCGGCTGCGGGAGTGGCAGAGTGGCGGGGGGTTGGGGGAGCGGTATCCGCTTTGATGTTGCACCGAACGAAGCACGTTGGCAGACGTCTGTTCACCTAATTATCACACCATTTGAGGCATCGTAAAAGCGAGACAGCCAGATTGGATAGCTAACGTAACGAGGGAGGTGTGGAGGTGGGTGGGCGTAATGGTGGGGGAAGTGGGCGGATCGGGAAGCCGATTTCAAGTTTTATTTCGCTGCATTTGTCGTGCACATGGGGCACATCATAAAGCCACCAAATGTGTGAAAGGAGCGCGGCGAGATCAAAGCCCTTGAAACAAATCAATTCCGCAAAATTGAAGGGAACCTAAAAGATAAGTTATATTTACATATACCCTTTTGGTTGCCTGAACGGGGGAATTCCTATTAATAAAGCTTTCCAAGCTGTTTTACGACTTAAAACCTCTTAACCCCTTTTCGTTTCAAAAGATGTTTTATTACATGTAATTAAATTTATGCCAACCGCTAACTTTAATATCATAAAGTTCAAGACCTCAATCCTAAAGAAAAAAACTTTAAGTAAGTAAAATCCAAATGTAAGCTAAAATATCCATTCTACTTACTTTTGAATAAATTAAAACCCCGAATGCATTTATCATGTTTACCGGTATTCCGCCGACCTGGCTTCCATTTCAGTTTCCATTAATTTCAGTGTACGAAGCAAATTAGCAGCAATTTACATCCGTTGCGGGGGTCGAGGGGCCAAAGGGAAATATATTCGAAAGGGGCAGAGGAAGCGAATTAGACCTCGGTCCGGCGGGAAATGGAAAATCCCGACCACCGCCAGCTGCACTTGCACATGCAAACTAATAAATTTCATTGATGTGTCTATTTTGGGCTGCCCTCCTCCCAAGCCAAAAGCAAAGAGCTCCGAAGTGCCTGCAACGGAAGCAATTTGTAGCTACAAGCTGTAATTTCTGCCTCCCTCCCGTCGCACACTTTTCCCGCTTCCCCCCTCCCCAAACACTTTTCCTACCAAGAGCCAACGCCTCTTCTGACATTCCTCGACCAAATAAAAAGACGTCGATAATTCTTAAGCAACGGCGCGAAAATCGGGCAAATTTTCGCTGTCAGTGGTCGGAACCTAATGGTTGGCATTGGGAAATAAGGAGTGAAGGGGGTGAAAAAGTGGTAAAGGGGTTGAAAGGGGGGGGTACACTAGACCTCGTTGGCTTTAGCAAAGCAATTGCTGCACATTTTATTTAACCCTTTTTATGGCCTCATTATGGCCCCAAAAAGGAAGAGCGCGGAGTGCAGACAAAATATATATCTTTTCTGCTGAATTGGGGTAAAAATTGTACCGGGGAAAAGGGGGAATTGGAGCTTTCCGAGGATGGGGCTCAAAGCGGGTGCGAAATGTCTGGCGGAAATGAGGCTAGGAATCAAGCAAATAAATGTTTTATAAAATGTTTCCAGCACACAAAGTAACTGAGTGCGAGAGTGAGAGCGAAAAGAGCCGTTCCCCAACGATTCTCCAGCCATTAAAATGAAATTTATCGTTCACAATGTTTTATGGTTTTCGAAATTTCGTGCAAAATGGAGTTACTTGGTAATTTGGTCGGAAAATGAATGTTACCAAGCCAGGGGTTCATATAAAATGTTACTTTGTCTCTTATTATTTCCTTTGGCTTTTTTTAACACATGGTAAATGCAAGGACATATGGCTTAAATGCATTTTAAATTACATTTTGTTTATGAGTATATGATATGATAAATGATTAATTCTCCAAACAGAAGAAATAGTTTAAGGTATTTTAAATATCGTTGTATGATCCTTTTTAAAGTAAGATGTCATATTTTCTCATACCGTCCATTTATCAAATGAAATCAAATTGTTTTTCTTTCGTTCAGAATGCCAACGGTCGGTAAATCTCTTCAACTGCAATTCATATTCCCCACAGAGAGGTTGCCCGAACTCAGATCCCCCCCGAAAAAAGGGGTGGTGCGGGAAATTAATAGCGGCTAAAACTTTCAACTTTGCCGGGGGCACGAAGAGGGGGGAGGGGAAAGGAGGAGCTGCAGCAGCATCGCCAGGAGCAGGAGCTCACTTACTCATTCATTCAGTTTAGCAGGGGCAACTTGTGGCCATAAATTTGCGCGCAGCGCAAAAGTGGAAAATACACCGAAAAATTGCGGAGGCAAGTTGGCCGACCTGCAACCCCTCATCCCCCTTTCCCTTTCCCACTGCCCCTCCCCCGCGACACTTCTCGCCAGTTTACAGTTGTGTTTTGGAGAGCAGGATCCTCCTTTGGGGCCTGTTCCGCCATTATACTTGTATATGAGTGTGTGTGTGTGTGTGTGATATCTAGCGCACTTTCAGCGCGACGATAAATTTCCAAGGCAAAATGTGTAAATTATAAATACGAGCAATTATTTTAACTCTACTTAACAAATTACCATGCCGTAGCATATGGGGCAAAAGGTATAAATTACCGACTTTTACGACTTGCGGAAATTGTACGGCGACGACGGCGTTGCAAGCAGGTTATAGTCCTGTCTGCATGTGTGCGTTTGTATTTGTGCGAGGTGTGTGTTGGCGAGGGGGTCCCTGCTTAATTGTGTGTGTAGGTGATTATGCCTAATTGCACGTGTGTGTGTTGGTGTGTGTGTCGGTATGTGAGGGTGTGGCAGGACCAAAAGCAGAGGCGTCGACGGCGGCATGTTCAAGGATCTCGCTCTCACTTCCTGTCTCGGAAATTTACCACCTTTTCCCCGCTCGGTTGCGGTGTAAAACTTTTCGAATCAACTTTT